GGCCCACGTCATGATCTCGTGGTTCATGGGATCAAGCCCTCCGTCGGGCTCTGCGCTGACAGTGTGGAGCCTGCTCGAGATTCTCTCTCTTCCTCTCTCTCTGCCCCTCCCCTGCTCACTCTCTCTTTCAAAATAAAAAAATACACTTAAAAGCAAGTTTGAAAAACACAAAGGAAACTAAATGGCTTGGACGTACATTCGTCCAATGCTGAGGAACACTCATTATGTCTACACAATTGTCCTGCCCACATTTCCTAGATGATCAGCCTTCCCTCCCTAACTCTGCTGGTGCAACACAACTTGTTCAAGAGGGCTTTTCTCACATGCCCCAACCACTCAGACACATCAGATTTCTTAACTTCAACCTTCTCGGTGTCACCTGCTGCTCAGAGGCTGCCTCTGAGAATTCCAGGCAGCTGTTTCTCTGTTCCCGTGTGAGTTGACTGTTACTCATCCCTTCTCAGCCCTCTTCGCTTTCTAAGTTTCTTTCTATAATTCCTCTAAAATTTCCACTGTAAACCTTTTGCTTTTCTCCACAGGTGGACTGATTGCAAAACACCTATTACCTAAGATGTCTTGGCTTTAGCAGTTCATTGTTTGCATGACACGCCAGGGGGCATGAGCGCATCGGCCCTGGAGAGGGGCAGACCCAGCATCTGGATGTGCCCACCGTTGCAGAGACAACAGTATGGCAACTCCTCAGGGCAAAGCACAGCCATTCTCCATTTGAACTTGGTGGCTCAGAGCTACTCTGAATCAGGTGCGATTTCAAACCAGGCAGTTGGCATTCACCTTGAAGGAAGGAAAGGTCATGGGTTCAGTTGTGCTCACATGACAGTGAGCAAGAAGAATGCATGCAACTCCTGCAAGGGTAGCCTGGCTCCCATGATTCACAGTGAATGTTACAATAAAACGCAGGAGTAGAAACACCTACCCCTAGGCTCCTAGCAATGGACCTTCATTTCTCCACTGATTTCCCACGGACTCTCTTGCAATACTTTAGTTGGGGCCAATTAATGATCCTCTCACGCATCCAGCCTTTTAACACGTGGGGACAAACCAGAAATGAGATGGTGTGTGCCAACTGTCCCTTGCTGGGTTTCCTGGGGAGCTCGTTTACAAAGCAGCTTTGGAAATTCTAAATTTAGACTCAACTCTGCCTGCTCAGATCCTCCCAAACCGCATGCTGCTGTTGACTTTCAGCAGGAACTGTGGCCCCCAAGGAGGTGCTGATATTTCACGGACAGTGCGTTCTTCTCTCTCTTGAGCACCCAAAAACCTGCAGGAAAGCCTTCTCAGGCAGGGCTGATGTTTACAGTTGAACAGGCTGCACACTGCACAATTCTAGGCGGCATCATTCACATTATAGTCAAGTCTGTCTGACTCTAAGGTTCGTGACCTTAATCACTATAGTCCATGTGAATAAAATCCTCTAGACCAGAGATCAGCAAATTTTTTCTATAAAGGGCCAGGGAATAAATGTCTAAGGCTTTGCAGAACATACCGTCTCTGTTGCAACTACTCAACCCTGCCTGGTAGCACGAAAGCAGCCATAGATAATACCCAAACAAAGGGCATGGCTGCATTTCAAAAAAATGTTATTTACAAAAACAGGTGGGAGACTCAATTTGGTTAGGGGGCCACAGTCTGTCAACCCCTGCTCTTGACTGTGTAGAAACATCCTCTAGGTTGTTCCTAAGGAGACACCAAAGTGTGCCTTAGCCCCGACCTTTCTGGCTCCTCCTGCATGGTCTCCTCTGTCCTTGGACTCAGTCCTCCTGTTGCCCCTCATGGTGGTACTACCCCAAGCCTGCCCTCCCAGGGAGTTATTCTGGGCTTCGGCCCCCACCCTGGGCATAGTTAAGGTCATTTGCAGGTTTCATGGCCTCAGGGCCCACAAGCTACCTTCTATTTCTGACTCTGGTACTTTTCAGGCTACTGTTGACGTGCCTCACCCCTACACACCCACTTGCACCTTCAGAGGCTTTCTGGAGAGGTGGCGAAGGCGACCTGATGGAGACAGGGTAGCTACACTGACTGAGGGTCACCATGGGGTCACCATGGGCCAGGAGCCGTGCCTGAAGATTTCAGTTGGGTCTCACCACAACCCTGTGAGGTTTGTGTCACGCTCCCATGAAGCCCCTGAAGGACGTAACTTGCCCAAAATTACACCACTAGCAGGCGATGACTCAAAGGCCACGCTTCTCAGCACCGCAGCCCCTGATCTGAGCCCAAGGGAGTGATTCTCACCACGAACCACCTAGGCCCAGGGTGACTGCCCGGGCCTAGAGAAGGGCAAATTTGGGGATATGCACACCTTCCGGTACTTTTCAAATTAAATCAAGAGGCAGCCACCTTTTCAGCCTGTGTTCAGCCCCAATGTGGAGGCCACGGCTCATAGCCTGCTTTATGGAAACAGAAAGTGAGAAATAGAACATTAAGACGAGTTCAACAACCATAACCCTGCCTTCCAACTGGTCCTTGACCTCTCGGCTAATGTAAGCCTCAGACAAGCCAGAGCCCGGTCTGCAGAGACTGGCCATCCTCGACGTGAACCGAGCTGAGCGTCCTCCCAGCTTCCTGATTCACCGGGTCCTGGGGCTGACTGACACTGGCCGCCTACCCAGGAACCATTCCCACTTCCTCCAAACGGACAGAAAGCAGGTCTGGGTCAGTCATTAAGCAGCTGAGCCCAACCGAGGGATGATGCAGGATTGTTCTAAACCAGGGTTTCTCGGCCTCAGCATGATTGACACCGCAAGCCAGGTCCTTCTTAGCAGTGGGGTGACCCATGCACTACGGGATGTTCGGCAGCACCCCGCCTTCTACCCACTAGATGTCAGAGCACCCCCGAGTCGTGACAACCAAAATGTCTTTAAACATTCAAACTGTCACCGGAGGGGCAGGCACACAACCACTCCCAGTTGAGAACCACGGGCTAAAGCCACCGTTTCCAGCAGTAACAGTACTGGCATTTGAGCAGAAGACTTATTTGTTTTGTGGAGCTGTATGATCCACTGGTGTCAAAAGTTTAGCGACCTTGGTCTCCACCCACTAAATCCCGACAGCATTTCTGGTTCCTGTGATAGCCTCACACATTTCCAACACCCCACAGGGCAATGGAGTATCTTATACCCATCGCTGTTGAGTCAAAATCATGGTAACCCAGGTCCCTTTGGCAGCAGTTGGCTTAGGGGTGGTCATATGATCCAGTTCCACATAGTAAGTATTAAAGGAAAGTCTGCCGCAGGGGGTAGGTGCTGAGGACAAGTTTTCCTTCCCGAGAAGAAGAAACACCACTCCCATCTCTGGATGCAGTTGTGGGAGACAGTGATGTTGGTTCTATAGCAGCCATTTTGAGACCACGTGGAAACAAGCCTGGGGACAAAGGCCAGCATAGGAGAGCTGGCACACGAGCCGGGAGCGTTGCTGACGTGGCCAAGTAGCTGAGCCAAACCTGGAAATGCTTCCAGCTTTTTTGCCAAGTGAGGTTGTTAAGTTCTACTGTTGTTTAGGATATTTTTATTGCCTTTTTTTTTTTTAACTCGAAGTTGAAATTATCGGATAGTAACTTGCCAGGCACATGGTTGGTCAGGCGGGAGACAGATGCAGAACCCAGCTCCTGACCTCAAGGAGCGTATAGTCCCATTGAGAAAGAGGAACCACTGCAATAACAATTACAGAAACAATGAAGAACACTCAGGGACTAACTTTGTGATTCCCACAGCAAGTGCAGGATCGGGATGAGGCCGACTGAGGACTGATCAGCCAGTGAAGCCTCTTGGAGGATGTGGAAGGCAGCTTCTAAGATGGCTGCCAATGATCTCCACCTGAATGGCTTCAAGCCCTGTGTAATCCTCTCCTCTTAGGAGCATGCTGGACTTAGGAGCATCTGGACTCGCTTTTAAGAAACACTATGGCAGAAGTAATGAGAGGTCAATTCTGAGATAGAGTTATAAAAAGACTGTGGCTTCCATCTGGGGTGATCACTCTCAGGGAAGCCAGTGGCCATGTCCTAAGGCAGCCATTGGTGGGGGGGGGGGGGGACATCCACAAGAGTTCTTGCAAGGGGACCTTCTGAGGCCTGCTGGCCACCACGGGAGCAAGCTTGGAAGCAGACCTTCCCTGAGGTGAGCCATGAGAAGACTAGAGCCCTGACCACAGCCTGATGACACCTCGTGAGAGATCTTATGTCGCAAGCACCCGGCTAAGCTGGACCCAATTTCCTGACCACAGAAACTGTGTGAGGATAAATGTTTAAGCAGCTAAATTTTAGGGTGTTTGTTATATAGCAAAAGATCACTGATCTAGAGGAGAAACTTGGAGATCTGCAGTTCCTGACATTTCCAAGTTGGAGAAGAGGCAAAGTGGGCTGGAGACTCTGAGAATTCTTGGGCCAGGGGGTCCTGGGTCTTAGCTGGCTTGGATCTCATCATATTCCGGAGCCAGACAGAGCCTCGGGGGGCGGGGGCGGAATCTTCACATCTCTTTTTTCATTGATATAGCCCCAGGGTCTCGTCTTGTGTCTGGCATACGGTAGGGACTGAAGAAATAAATGCCAGTTGACGTAGGAATGACTACATGTTTGCAGTAAGTGTTGGTGACATTTTGAATCCCTCCAGGGTGAATGGGGGGGAAAGGTGGGGGTTCAAGCACAGATGCCACACAGGCCCTGGAAGAGCATAGTGACCAGAAGGTGTTTGTTTCCTCACCTAGGAAGGGAGGGCTGGTCCTGAGGCAGTTAGCACCATGTTATCGCTAACTTTGATCTTAGGGACTGAGACAGTCTTGCCCTGGGTGGCAGCTGTGATGCTCCCAGGAATCAGGAGCAAGAACTCTTTTGCACTTGCGGGTTTTGACATGAAGTACCACTCCCTCCACCCAGGAGGTGAGCCAGCTGGAGGAGTTTGTGGCAAGTGACCCGGGAGGCCTTTCCTCTTTGTGGAAACCCAGGTGCGTGGGCAGGCAGGTGCTGCAAATGTTGCGGCCCGTGATGCCAACTCAGCCTGCATTTCCTGTGCCCGAGCCTCTTCCATGCCCGGCACCACCACCCACCGAGGTCCCGGGGTGCCCCTTCACACACAGCCCAACCAAGCCAAAAGCATTCCTGTAAATATGTCTCGAGCAGGGGAGCCAGGCCCCAGTGAGCACCCTCCCCCGGGATATGCAAATGTCTTAATGTTCCTGCAAGGCGGTGATGCCACCACCCTGGCTCCTTTCCCTTATACGGTTTCCTGGAGATCATGCCGGTAAGAAACAGGAGAGGAACCTCTTTTGTCTTCACCCCTCTGAGAGGGAGCAAGAGGACAGCTCACCGAAGGTTAGGAGAAAGACATTAGCAGAGGGATCATCAGACCTTGGGGTTGTTACTTCCTCCCCCAAACGCAAAGGCCAGGAGCCTTCAGTTCAGTCTTCACTCTGCCTTTTCTCTTGAAAATTACATAACCAGCCAGGGAGAACAAAGACTTTCCGGGCTTCCCAACGACACCGACAGAGCACGGAGACAAATTCTGGCAGCCTCGCCCGGAGTGCCAAGCCCACGTCGGCGCAAAGCTGGGGAGGGGAGCAGTGTGGGTCCCTGCGTGTGACCTGTGGGTGCTGGTCGCCACTGGCTGCACAGGCTGGACCTGTCCAGGCTTGAGGCTGTGAGTCTGACTGCAGGATGGGTCACGAGTGTGTGTGGGTCGCTGTTTAATCCTGATTTTAGACGACTCCGACACTTGAACTTTGTAGATTCAAGGGGAAATTTCTTATCTGTTCTTTTTTTTTTTTTTTTTAAGGAAAGAAACCTGGGACAGCTGAAGACGTCTTTCAAAATCGAAATCAGGACACTTCTAACATCCGTGGCGAAATACGGTGAGGCCCCATTTGGGGCTTGCTTTGTTTGGACTGTTCTGAAGGGCAGAGATCCCAGCCAGGGGCTAAGCTTCTCAAAAGTAGAGTCTGCATCTTTAATTTCTTCTGCATTTGACTTAGCACCCACTGCACGGGGCCCGCAGGCCACTGTGCCTTCCCTGAATCTGGAGATCGCTCTCTGTGAGGCAAGATTTAATAAGCTGTTGTGGGAAAGCACAAAGTTGCTGGAGCTCATTGTTCAGACCCCACGTGCCCTACCATCCATGGGACTACTTACTCCCTACCTGCAGGGTCAGCCTATGGCAGGGATGTTGAAAGATCCCTGGTCTGTAGCTAAAGGACACAGCATTAAGTTATGTTGCTTTTAGACCAGAAATGGAAAATATGGAAATATATCTCATATATTACTATCAACGCATTTTGCACCTATGGCAGATGTTGGTAATCAGTGACCACCTCCTCTGTCCTGATGAGCCAGGAAAACCAGCATCCCCGAGAGCCTCTGCTAATGGCCTGGAGCTGACCTTCAGAGCAGAGCCTATATGCATCCACAGCATGGCTCTCTCTGACCTCACACTGCCATTGCTTGACCTTGGTCCCGGTCCTCTTCCCCTGGCTAATTCTTACTCATCTTTTGGGTCTAAGCTTAAATGCCCCTTCAGCCAGGAAGCCTTCCCTGATGCTCTTCTCCTTCCCCAGACTAGCTTACCTGTCAGGCTGTGTCCCCTTGTGCCCTCTTCATGTCACTTTTCTCCCTTTCTGTTTCTGCTTTAATTGCGTGTCTTCCGTGTTTGACTGGAAGCTTGGTGAGGGCAGGGTCTCCATCCTCTACATCACTACAGTCCCAGTGCCTAACTCCTAACCTACTCAATAACTTCTCCAGAGAAGTCTCATACTCTAGACCAGCGTTTATAAATTCAGATTTGTAATACTCACTTCCTTCCTCCCCATGAGAGACGCTAAACAGACATGAGAATTTCACAAGTCTTGTCCAATTCGAATCCTGCATTCAGTCCCTTTACATTTTGACTTCGCTTCCCAAGAGGGAAGGGTTTTTGACTTCGCTTCCCAAGCCCCACTTCTGACCCAGTCACGTGGCCCAATAGCCAACGAATGTGTGCACTCAGCTACCTCCTACTATTCCCAGGGAGGCTAATCATTTACAGGGCTTGTGCTCAGAGGTACAAAGAAATCATTTGCAGAGCAGAAAAGAGTTCCCTCTCCTAGCGATTGCTTCTCCCTGTTCATAAGGGACAGAAGTGGTGTTTTGACAACTCAGGTGACAACAGTAATCCCTGGACCACATGGGGCTGTCACAGCTGAGAAGGAACGTCATGGGCTGGGGGCCAGGAAACTTGAGTTCTAGTCCCACGGCTGCCTGGGAGCAAACCAGGAGGAGTTTCAAATCTGTGAGGTGGGAATAACCACACTGCCCCACTTCCTCATGGGGATAAGAGCAAACGAGGCTGGTGATACAAACACACTTTCGGAAGCAGAAAGCACAAATTAGACGTAAGTCACGACCATAACCCACGTACACTAAAATAAGCAACTTCCATAGTGACCTTAGCTGGGTTCGGAGGGGGAGGGGTCAGAGACGTTGCCTTTTCTCATCCTTTGGGCTTGTACCTCCATTCTTCCAACAGTGAGTGCCCTCCATGCGGGAAGAGATATTAACCCACTAGCTTTTGCATGTGCATTTTAAGTCTTTTTAAAGTTTTTATTGATATTGAGAGAGAGAGACAGAGGGAGAGAGAGAACGAGAGAGGGAAACAGAGAGAGAGAGGGAGAGAGAGAATCCCAAGCAGGCTCCATGCTGTCAGTGCAGAGCCCAACACGGGGCTCGATCTTATAAACCATGAGATCATGACCCGAACCGAGATCAAGAGCCGGACACTTAACCAACTGAGCCACGCAGGTGCCCCACGTATGTTTTAAGTCTTGTTTGTTGATGTTGTTGCTATTGTTGTTTTGCGAGGGGCAGGCAGGGGGGAACTTTAGAACTAAATTATCCCTATCTTCTCTTATGAACCAGCATACACTGCAACATCCATCCCAGAACGAAGTGTCTAGCAATGAATCTACGATGAATCGCATAAATGGACTGAATATATGCGTCCCCCAAGCCCCCCTGCCAATCCGTATGTTGAAATCCTCATTCCCAATGTAATGGTATTAGGAGGGGGGACCTTGAGGAGGTGATTGTATCATGAGCATGGTGCCCTCATGAATTGTATTAGTGCCCTTATAAAAAGAGACCTCAGAGAGCTCTCTTGTCCCTTCTGCCATGTGAGGACACGATGAGAAGTTGGTGGTCTGCAACTCTGAAGAGAGTCCTTATCAGACACCATGCTGGCACCCTGATCTTGGACTACTAGCCTCTAGAACCATGAGAAATCAATTTCTGTTCTTTATAAGCCACCCAGTCTATGGTACAGCCGCCTGAACTAAGACACTCACCAAGTGGCTCACCAAGTCCATTATGGCAACGCCGTTCACTCTATTCTAACTTACTGAAGTCTGTTGCCATGTGCTCACCGCCCTCTCTTCTGCTCTCCTTGTGAATACTTCCTTCACTGAAAGGTGATCAGACCCTCAGAGTCAGAACCACATGCCACAGAAATCCCATTGTAGGAAGAGGACCTACCGGAGAGCAAACATGTGCTATTGGGTGCTTGCTCTAGGAGGGACGCCAGGGAGTGTCACTAGTCACTGAGGAACAGTGAGTCCCCCGCAAGCCTGTAAAGGATTCCACACCCACAAAAGCCTCTCGTGTCTTGATGGTCGGGGCCCCATGGGAGGCCATCAAACCCCATTGGACATGGAAAGGGGAGATAATGTAGTGATCAGCCTTCAAATTATGAGCTCCCTGGAGGAGAAGGCAGATGGCTCCACTGTCTGGAAGAGCAGGAAGGGTGGAAAAGAAAGCAATAGAGGCAACAGACGAGGAGGAAGCACAGAGGTGGGCAGGGGACCAAGGAACCCCCCCCCTCACCTGGCATTCTTAAATAAAAAAGGCAAAGAACAGGAGCCCTGATGGTGACACTGGGTTTCCCACCAACTGATGGTGACAGCTGTTAGCTAGTCTGGACTTCATGTGAGAAAGGTGACCATCCTTGACTTAGAGTGTAGATCAGTGCCAGGTTGGTCCACACAAATTGCAGTGGGAACCAATGCTCCCACCCCTGCCGGATGAGGAAACTGAGGCCAAGAAAAGGGAAATGACTCTTCCAAGGTCAGTCTGAGAGGCAGGAACCAGGCATTGTAGAGTGCCCAGGCTGCAGGTTTGAGGAGCAGGTCCTTCCAGGCATTTCTTGGGCCTCAGGATGACCTTGTGGAGGATTTCTGGACCTCCCTCCCTCAAATGAGGAAGGGGATCCTGACCCAGCTGGCAAAGAGCTATGCGTGGCGAGGAATGGCGAGCTGTGAATGGCGAGGAATGGCGAGGAATGGCGAGCCTTCGTTGGGGGAGCAGGGTTGAGGAGGAGGAACTGGGGAGAGAGACAGAGAAGGAGGTCAGGGAGGAGGAATGAAGAGAGAGCAAGGGGAGGAAAGGGAAGAGAGAGGGAGCCCATCTCCACTCCCAGACACGGCTGCCTGCCTGCCTTCCTCGTGGCTGCGGTTAGCGTGTGGCACACAGACACCCTCACTGCCTGGGAGCCTTGGACACATCGATAAAGTCCTCAGTGCAGAATAGGCAGCAACCTGGACAACAGCAGCAGCATGACCAACACAACACAGCGCATTGGCTGGACAAACGTAATCCTGGTCGGCAGCCAAGAGTTCCACAGTGCTCCCAGGTACAGGCCGTCCTGGGGCGGGAACTGGATTTTACCTGCACGGTGTAGTCAGCTGGAAACCCGGATCAGGGCTGGCATCGCAGCTGACGCAGCACGAGTGCGTGGTCAGCGATGGGCTGGACGGTGACGCAGCAAAGCATTCCTTTGCTTCTCCCTTCCCCTGCCACACGCCAGACAAATGAGGTTTAGGATTCACTGGGTTTTAAAAAGAAATAGCACAAAACAGGCTCTGTCTTCTTGCTGTCGTGTGCCGGGAACGAGAGGGCAGTCAATGGGTCTGGGCAGGGGGGCTGCCTGGAGAGGGTCTCAGCCCCCACCTGGCTTATAAGTAGACCCAGCCTCCAAGCCACCTTCTAGGAGGAAGGCCACTCAATACATATTGCCTTCATCCCAGTGTTGAGGGCCAAGGCAAACTGGGGCTCAATGGAGACGTAAGGCAGTTGACTGGATATTCATCGTGGGCAGAGCTGCTCTCTGGAACCTGAAGGAAAAGGTAAAGTCTAGCTCGTAAGGAGAGGTGGCGGGACCCAGGCAACGTAGGCCGGAGAAGCTGTCTCACTCAGTCCCTCTCACCTGGAGCAAACTCAGCGAGGCTACTGCTCACCGAGGGTGGTGGGAGGGACACAACCCCTACCTTCCTTCCAGTGAGAACCTTCTGGATGGGAAGAAGGTTGCTTTTAAAGCAAAGCTTTATTTTACCAATGACAAAATCATCTTCTTTTTTTCAACTAGCCATGTAAACTGGTTTTAGTCCTGGATCTGTTTCCACCGCCTAAATTGCAAGTTAGAACCCCCAATGGAGGCAGACTAGGAATCTGCTCAAGAGGCCTGGCCTCAGCAAGCCTGCAGAGAAATACAATTCGGGATCTCATCAGGATTGAGTCAAGTGATCCTGCACGAGTCCTGGTCGTCCGGAACCAAAGTGGAGGGTCTCAGGCCAATGCCTAGCCCCCTGCCCCGACACCCTACCCTCTGCATAGTTTTATAAGGCAAGCATACTTCTTTGAAACAAAACTAAAAGCAGAAAAGGCTGACTTTGATAGTGATCTCTTTGACTAGTGGATCGATGTGTTCTGTCTCTCTCTGACACAACTGAGGAAAGGGACACAGTGCCAGCTTCAACGCCGAGCTCACCCAGGCTCGGAGGACCAAAGATCTGCTCTGATTTCTTCTGCTGAGCTATTGGAGACAGTGGTTGGGACTATGGCCTGGAAACCCCCCCCCCCCCCCCGGCCTGTGTTCAGGATGCTCTCTCAACCTGGATGTGCTCCTTCTCTTTCCACCCACTTCCAAGGCTCCGTGGGGAGGCCACCTCCCGGGAGAAGCGCAGTGAGGGCCGTGACTGGGTGAAGGTGATGATAAGGGAGGGAAGTAAGACCGTGCCTGAGAAATATTACTATCTGCCCCCCTTTCTTCATCTGCACAGCCTTAGTGTAGGTTCTGGATGTCCCGATGTGTTAACAGCCTGCACCCTGCCGTCTCTAGCTGTGGCCCCCGCCCCCCCAGTGAGGGCAGGGCGCGAGGACCTTTCCCTAGGGTTTCCCTGCGGGCGGAGAACACCGCGGCCCCCCTCAAGGAGCACGCTCGGAGCCAACAAATGACGGAAGATCCCGCAGCTCCCAGATGCTCTCCCGGCCACTTCCTGTACCCCTCCAATCCATCCTCCTTCTGCTTCCAATATTTCTAAAATACATCTGATCGTTTCCATCTCCTGATTAAAAAAAAAAATCTTTTTAACAGCTCTCCACTGCCCAGAGATTAAACCCAAGCACCGGGCACAGCTTCCCATCAGACCCGTATCTGCTTTCCCACTTCTGGCCAGCTGCTCTCCAGGAACTGTACCCCACAACTGCGGATTGGGGTGATCATCCCTGAGTCACCTCAGCCCAGGCAGGTGCGGCCCTGTCTGCTGATGACACGATCCTCATTGCGTTCCTAGAACAACCCTACCCAAGCCCAAATGTCACCTGCCACCTTTGAGGTGAACTTTTCCTTCTCTGAGCTCATAAAGCACAATGCATACGCTTCCATGAATCCTGTGCAGCCTCCTTCCTACTGGACGGGAGTCCCATGTGCAAAAGCACCGTGGCTGGGTCTGCCTTATGCACTGCCCCCCCCACCCCGCACACCCTTCAGTGTCTGACCTGCAGCAGGTGCTAAGCAAACAGGTGATGGCTCAATGAATAGATGGGAGCGGGAAGGGGGCTAGGGGCTCAAGAGTGGAAAATACAAGAGGTGCCTGGCAGAAGTGACCCCTACATGCACATGCCCCCAGAGTGTGACCTGCGGGCGCAAACATGGTCAGCTGCCCAGGACACGAGCAGCGCGTTCATATGGAATGACACAAACTCTGGAGACAGGCTACCATGAGGCAGCACCCTGGATCCACGGCAAAGGTGCAGAGGCAGGAGGTCAGGGCAGCTGAGCAGAGGTGTGCAGACAGAGAGGAGATTTAGTGGGAGTGTTGGAGAGCGTCCAGCACAACTGACAGAAAGTGGGACCAGAGAAGGGATTTTCCGGCAGAATCCTGGCACGCGCATGTTCCCTCGGGGCACCACCGAAGGCAGGGTGTCGGAAACAAGGTGGGAACAGCCTAGCTTCAGCAAAAATAAACCCAGAGAGTGATGGCGCGTCATTCCCCCCGGGTGTTCAGCCCCTTTTCTTCTTTTCCCAGCTTCCAGATCATCACTGACAAACTCAGGATGCGAAACGCGGATTGTTTATGAGACTGGGTGCAGGATGCCTCCTCAGGCTCACTGGCCTACCGCCCTGCTTTAAGAATGGCCACACCGAAAGATCGCACCGCTGAGACGTCTCCTTAGGAACTATTTTGCCTGGTCTCTTCTGGAAGCCTCAGCTGCTGCACACAGCTCTTTCACTGTTTGGTTGCCCCGTGGATAGCAATAAAATCAAGATGAAAACTCATTTGCAAACCAACTTTCCACTGTCCAAAGCATTTGCATGTAGTAGCGTTTAATATTTAATACTTTCATGTAATATTTATTGAGCCTTGCTACGTACCAGGCAGAGGGGCCCCAGGGGCCCCATGCAACTCACAGTCCAGGGGCGGAGGGGCGGCTGTGACACAAATAATGGCACAAAGAGTGCCTGTGTATGATCATAACTGTGATAAATGTATGACGGGAAAGTACAGGATGCTATGAGCCAGGGTGCCGAGGAGACAATTACTTTGGGGAAAAGTTACTTTGGGGAAGTGATGTTTAAATTGAGACTTGCAGGGTGAGTAGAAGCTACCCAGGAGGCGAAGTGGGGAGATGGAGAGAACTTCGGGTGCTGTCAGAGCCTTGAAGAGCCTTGAGAAGCCTGATGTTGGAAGAGAAGAGATGGGCGGGAGGCTGGGTCTGCTGGCCCGCAGGAGACATGGAGGGAGAGGAGGCTGGGGTGGAAGTTGAGGCTGGATTGGGAAGACCTGTTTCATTCCCTTCTCCAAGAGCTTGAGCAGGAAGTGCCGTCCTCACTTGTGCAACACGGAGGAAGGTGCTCCAGATCTGAAGCATCTCCTGGTCTGAAGCAGCTGGACGTCTCCAGAGAGAGGTCCCCTCTGACACCCCACGCACAGACCTGTGGCTCGTGTTCTACCTCGGCTGTGCTCCAAGCTCGGCTGGGCTTGGGCCTCAGTGACGTGGCCCACGCTGCTCCATCCCACGCTCCCAGTGGGACCCTCACTCTGGCCAGCCAGCTCCAGGTGTCCTCCCAGGTGCAGAGCAAGTCAAGTCACTCTAACATCAGCCCACGGCCAAGGGTAAATCATCCTTGTAACCTCTCATCAAGTTGTTACGAAGAGCCTCACGGAATCTGTCAGAAACTCCCAGGAAGAGGCAGTCTCCCACCCAGGGAGGCTTTAGGGACGGCCTTAGGCTCGGTTGGGGACTGAGACGTCTGGGAGGGGACTATAAGGGGCAGCAGAGTGGAGATGGATGATCTGGCTGATGAAGAGAGTTCTCTGGGCTCACATCTGACCCTTGCCATGTACAGATTATGTGAACTTGAGCCTCAGTTTTCTCATCTGTTTTATTTAAAAATTTGTTTATGGGGCGCCTGGGTGGCGCAGTCGGTTAAGCGTCCGACTTCAGCCAGGTCACGATCTCGCGGTCCGTGAGTTCGAGCCCCGCGTCGGGCTCTGGGCTGATGGCTCAGAGCCTGGACCCAGTTTCCGATTCTGTGTCTCCCTCTCTCTCTGCCCCTCCCCCGTTCATGCTCTGTCTCTCTCTGTCGCAAAAATAAAATAAACGTTGAAAAAAAAATTTTTTTTTAATTTGTTTAATGTTCATTTATTTTAAGAGAGAGAGGGACAGCTAGTGGAGGAGGGGCAGAGAGAAAGGGGGAGAGAGATTCCCAAGCAGGCTCTGCGCTGGAACCCATGAACCGTGAGATCATGACCTGAGCCAAAATCAAGAGTTTGACGTTTAACCGACTGAGCCACCCAGGTGCCCCAGTTTCGTCATCCGTTAACCAGAACATGAACACCTCCCATATTGATCCCGTGGGGTTTTTGAGAGAATTAAAACCACTAGCCATGATGGTAGTATGGCAGGTAAAACTATCACACAGTAGATTGCTGAAATAATATCACACAGATGTCACCGCTTCCCTAAATAATAGCAACACTAAGTACAACCACCCTAAATAATAACAACACTCCATGATAACAACAGATGACAATGTACTTTATGTCATCTAACTTCACAGTGATATTCCTAGCAACATATCGTGGGGGCACATCTTACAAGCCAGGGACGGAACACAGCCAGGAGGAGGAACCTGGCCAAGTGTGCCCAGCGGGATATGGCATAGCTGGGCTTCAAACCCCAGCAATGTGTCTCCACACTCCATGCTCTTACCGTTATGCCATGCTGTCTGAGTGAATGAAATGCCCTGGACGCTTGCTGTGGGCTGTCCCAGCAATCAGACTATGGGGCTGGGGTGCCAAGTGACACCACTCAACTGCCATTAGCTTGCCCTGTGCCCCTTGACAAGGGATTGCCTTTGTCCTCCTTCTGTCTCCTTGTGGGACCCGAGACAGCAATCAGAAAACCCACAAGAGATAACTGGTTGCCGCTGCTCCTACCCAATGTCTCTATGTAGTGTTTAATAATCACACAAGAGCAAGACCCTGTGTGGATTCTCCTGGCTCATCTCTCCTCCCACTCCAACACAGCAAAGCCTCTCTGCCCACCCAAAGCCTGTGGTGCTCCGCCACATTCTAGGGCCATTTTGGATGGGCATTCATCCTTGGTCTTTAATCCCATAGCTTTCAATGTTCAGCAAAAAGCTCTCTCACCTTCCAGCTTTTTGTTTTTTTGCCATATCCTACCTTCCATCATTCCTCCCTCCCACTCTTTCTTAGCCACCCCCTTTATTCCTTTCTCTCCCACCATCCCCAACTTCCCCCAGAAGTTCTCTAATCCACACCCATCCCTTATTCTCCTCTGCAACTCTGAATAATATTCCCTCAGAATGGCCACTTCGGAGTTTAGAAAAGAGGACAGGGGTGCCAGTGGGTGGCGAGATGGGGGAACAGCCCATCTTAGGCAAAGGGTGAAGGAACATCTATCTGGGCGGTTCCAAGGCGACTTTCTGTTCCTTTTCTTTCTCTGCAGTGTCCTCTCTACTTTTCAGACATGCATCCTCTTCCGTGTTAGTGCCTATACAAGGACTTGCGCCCAGCCAGGTTCCTTTTCCCAGAGAATCTGTGAGTTAAGTTTGTCTCTAAGCATGGAATACAAGCTCAAGCCCTGATTGGGAAAGGTTGGGCACCACGCCGGCTCTTTGAGGGGAAGAGTTCCTGGCACCTTAAAAATGACATCATGGAGGTCATTTCCTGGGCTGCTGAGAAAAAGGACAAGAGATCGTCAAGGGGCCCTTCTGAGGAGCGTGGTAAAAGATAATGTAACTAAAGCAGCACCTGTCCCCCAAAGCGCTGCAGTCTGTTCTCCCAGAGTCATTCGCTTGCATGACTGAACAAGTTTGGGGCCCTCTGGATACCAGTGATGTGACTTTGTTCCCAGCCATCTAGTTGATCCTGGGCGCTGAGCGGTTCCAATCTGGTGATTACCTTCCCTTCTCCGACCCCATCAATCCCCCACCAGACCAGCTGACAGAAGCTCTCCCTCTTCTCCCTTCACCTCCCCAGGTGGGATTTACAGACGGAGGGTTATCAAGGGAACCAAATGTGGACATAGTTTTACACTATCATATTCTGCCCTTCCCCCCACCCAAACGGAAAGTTATCTAACCAAGGTCTCCTATCCACTGCAGAAATCCCAAAGCTTCTGGCTCTCAAGTCCTGCTGGAGGCAGCTGCAGGGGGCGGGGGAGGGGGGCGCAACTCAGACGTGGTACAAGAAGGTGTGGACCAAGCGGAGATTCACCTCCCCTCCCATTGAGATGGCATTAAAATGATGGTAAAGGGGTCTTTAAATCAACAGAAACCCATAATCATGAAGAGAACAGGAAGGTAACAACTGGAAGATATTTCTGAAAGCTTGAGAATTTGGAAGTCTCAGCCCAGAAAGCACAGTGAGGCTCCAGGAGAAACCTGGAGGGGCCCCAGGCTGAAGTCAAGGAGCAGGTGGGAGGGGCCTAAACTGTGGAATTACTTGAAAGTTTGCATATCAAATGGGAACACCCTTACCATCACCCAACCTCTGCATTTAGAAAAGCAGGCAGTTCCTGCCTCCCTCCCCTTCCCATCTTTTATTTTTTTATTTGATTTTTACATTTTTAAAAAAGTTTACTTATTTTTGAGAGAGAGAGAGAGAGAGAGAGAGAGAGAGAGAGAGAGAGGATCCGAGCTGTTAGCACAGAGCCTGACGTGGGGTTCGAACTCACGGACCACGAGAACATGACCTGAGCCGAAGTTGGATGCTTAACCCACTGAGCCAACCAGGTGCCCCTTGTTCTCTTCTTTAAACCCCAGTGTTTAAACCCTCAAGCCTTTCCTTAAGCCCCAGGTTCTGAGGGGACATTGTTGAGTTGCAATGGAGAATGAGGGATGTGGTGAGTTACTGAGGATTTTTGGCGGGGGGGGGATTTGGTTTGCTTTTACAAAACAGTAATGTAAATGCTATTTACTAGGTTCAACTTTTAGAGTCTATAAGTAAACTTTTGTCACAAACAAAACATAGATATCATCAACTTGGACACGTAAAAGAAAAGATTAAGTTAGAAAAGTTGCTGGGGAGGTGGAAGGAGAGAAGGAAGGAAGGAGAAGAGAGTATTCTCATCCTGGGTGGAGAGATCCTGCTGAAAGCCAATGGAAAGAGGAAGGCAAGGTAATGAATATAAGCACTTGAAGTTGAAGGATAATAAATATAAGCTTTTTTAAATATGATGATTATTATCAAAATCAAATAAAGATACTGACCACAACGCTTCTTTCTCGTGAGGAAGGTATTAAGGGTTCACCAAAAAAAAAAATATATATATATAATATCAGATTGTTTAATGGGCAGGCAAGCCAATTTGCCCGCTCTATTTACATTATTCCTTTCTTATTCTTTTTTTCTTAAATGACAGCAACAAAATGAGCCACAAAAATAACGACAAACCATCAAAAGAACGGGTAAAGTATATTATTACTTGGAGATACAGAACTAATCAACATGACAACTAAAAAGACAAAGGTCGGGGTCAGGAATGAGACAGAGGATGACAACTTTTCATTGTGTCTTTTCTGCACTTTTTTTTTTTTTTTAAACCATAGCTTGCATTGATTAAAAGTTGAAAGACCAAGGAGTCGTCTACTTGTTTGCAGCCCCAGGGTCGCCAGGGCAAAGGACGCTCCAGAGATGGGTGGCTATCTCTGACAAGATGCTGGGAAGGACCTAGTTCAGGTCCTGCTGACAGCGGCCTGGGGACCGGCTTCAGAGAGCCTCCGCCCCTGGTCAGCGACTGGGCTTTTCCCCTGCTGC